ACAAAAGCAGATGGAGCTTTAATCACACTTCTAAATAGGAATAAAGCCAATGGTGATTCATTGAGTTGCCGCGCTGAGGGTTGCGGATTCGTGTCCCGCACGGAACAAGTATTTGTATGGCTGACAAATGATTGTGTTTTTAAACTGCCTCCACGATACAGGAGAAAATCATTATATGGCAGTATTGTTTTAGGGTTCCGTACCTCAATAAAAAAACGGAACCCTTATAAGGTCACTTTGTTGTCCGTCTGTCTGTCTGTCTGTCAAGACCCTTTTTCTCAGGAACGCGTGAAGGTATCAAGCTGAAATTCATATCAAATACTCAAGTCTACTGTCCCTTAGAGCTGTGAAAAAATCAAACTTCTAAGCCAACGCAATCAAAAGATACAGCCGTTTATGCCGTAAATTTTCGACATTCGCAAGGGAATCAAAACCTACAGGGTACTTCCCGTGAACTCAGAATCTTGAAATTTGGTACGAAGCAACGTTTTATAGCACAGATAAAGGCAAAATTGCGAAAAGCATAATATTTTAGTTACATCATATAATAAAGACATTTTTAATAATTTAATCTTATATACCTACAGATTTGTTCGGAATCCTCGGTGCGCGAGTCCGACTCGCACTTTGTCGGTTTTTACCGTGTACGTTGCAAAAAAGGAGTATTGCCTTTTTTTTAGAATTGTTGCTATGGAACTTCCTTTTAGTCATAAGTACTAGACATATGGGGTATCTGATGTGAAAGAGAACATATTCATTTTTTTATAAATTTAATAATGTATACTAAATGATTTTTTTTATAAAATATAAGTGACAAAGTAACTTACTGTTAAATAAGGTAAATGGCTGCTACAGCTCATGAAGTCTCGTAACCAACTATAAACAAAGAACATTACTGATACGTCGTCGCAGCCTGTCCGCACTGCTGTTTGAGGACAGAAATAGGTAAGAGGGTAACCTATCCAGACGGAATCTTACAACGTAGTAACTATGTGCGTTTTAGTTATTTCTCCTTCTTTAAGCGGTAGCGCAATTACAAAATCTCATCACGTTTCTTAAAAGATTGGTCTGAAGGAGGCAATTCAGTCCAATCACTAAAGTAAATATAGTATATTGTAGACTGTTTTTAGGGTTCCGTACCTCAAAAGTAAAAAACGGAACCCTTATAGGATCACTTTGTTGTCAGTCTGTCTGTCTGTCTGTCAAGACCCTTTTTCTCAGGAACTCGTGGAGGTATCAAGCTGAAATTCATATCCAATACTCAAGTCTACTGTCCCTTAGAGCTGTGAAAAAATCAAACTTCTAAGCTAACGCAATCAAAAGATACAGCCGTTTATACCGTAAATTTTCGACATTCGCAAGGGAATCAAAACCTACAGGATACTTCCCGTGAACTCAGAATCTTGAAATTTGGTACGAAGCAAGTTTTTATAGCACAGATAAAGGAATAATTGCGAAAAGCATAATATTTTAGTTACATAATATAATAAAAATATTTATAATAATTTTAAACTTATATACCTACAGATTTGTTCGGAACCCTCGGTGCGCGAGACCGACTCGCACTTTGCCGGTTTTTTTAATTAGTTGATCATTGTAAGGAGAAAAAATAGTTCCCAAATTTTATCTATGTATTTTACACAGTAAGCAAATACAAAGGAAGAAAATTTTATCATTAGGGTGCACTTATAAATAGGGAGAAATTAGAGACAAAAATAATGTTCCTTAACTTTTTTTAAAGGAAGCTATTGCTTAAACACATTAAATAACAGTAAGGAGTAACAAAGCCTTACTCTAACAATTGATTTTTTTTTTGTTAAAATTTAGAGGAGTTCAAGGGATAGAAGGGAAAGGTTTTCTCTGAATCGATGAGAAAAATTACGAGAGAAGCTGATAAATTGAAAAGTTCTTCAAGGTATGTTGGACTTGATGTATTAAGTAAGAGGGAAGAAAAAATATGAGTAATCTGATGAAGGCGGGTTGAGAACCAATTGAGTTTAGAGCAGTATTTTGAGACATGGTCATGTTTATGAATATCAACCGTATACAAACAGATTTTGGAGTTGCTCAAGTTTGTTAAGTTGGTTTTCGGTGATATTATAACTTTATCAGCATAATCGAGCATAAGGAGCAGTAAAGATTTGACAAGCGTAACTTAAGTGGAGATGGGTAGAAAGTAGTTTATTCTTCAGAGTGACCCACAAGATGCAAACATTTTACAAAACACTGCGTCGATTTGCAGAGTCCAAGAAAGGCTGGAAACTTTCAAAATAGACTTTTTTTTAAACTTCCTTATAGATAATTAGAACGCCATTAAATATAATGGAATTTAATTGAGTATTATTTAATTTAAAGCATATTTCTGAACTGCCAATAATTACCGCTTGAGATTTTTAAGAGCTAAGTTAAACTGTTGCTTTGCCGACAAACTGGCTTACAGTTTGGCAAAATTTGGAATGTAAACAATGTAACACTCTTTCTAAGAATAAATTTAAAAAAAACTTTACAATTGACTCCAAGCCAAGAAATCACGATAGCTCCTTATTATCATTTTTTACGTAATAAAACCAAGATGCAGCTATATCATAGACATAGCCCAAATGGGTTGGCTCGACTGGGGAAAGACTACGCACTTAATACTGCTGGGTTTTGTATGGCGTGAATAACGAACCAGAGACCCTTTTTACTGGAAACGAGGCATTCCAGCTTGTCCTCAGGGGTAACAACCCATCTGCATATTAATTATTAATCGTATTGATGTAGACGTTTATGGGGCACAAATCGTTAGGTGAACTGTAGGCTTGTTTTTTACTCCTAATAAAATTTCTAAATATTATGTCGAAAATTATTTTTGGAAGATCCTCTACGGTTGTGTGAAAACTTTAATATATCTGAAGATCATTATAACAAATATCGTTAAATAAAATTTACATATGACTTACTACCTAAATGTTAAATCTACCAATTCAATGTTTCGGTTTAGGATTTTTGTTAATGTTCAATTTATGTGTGGCGTGTAGTTGCGATGTAAGAATATCAACTAACCCATATCATCCCATAGGTGGCTATGGACAACAGCGTTTTCCTAATAAACTGCGGTTACCAACCCGCCGGCCAGAGTGGCAACCGTGGCAAATATCCCCCCTGTGAAGCAGTCGCTTCTCAAACCAAGCTAATAATACTTTTGGTGCACAAACTAGTTTATTCCATTTGAAATTAACCATTATTTTATCGTTCAGCACCACAATGAGGCGACTATTACTTTATATGTATTTCGCACACGGAGTCATTGTTTTTAGAGTTGGCTTATCTATAAAGCACCATACAGTCGATTGTCGCTTTGTTTCGGGACCACAGATATAAAGCGACATTTCATTGCCAGACAGCATATCGTAAACCTTTATTTTTTTCGTCGGCGCCGAATTACTCTTTCATGAATGCCCTCAATCCACCAGATAGTCTCCTTACACGTAGATAGTTTTGTGTGTCACCAACAACGCCTACGGAATTAAACTTGGTAGTGAATGATGGTTTGCCTCTGATCCAATACACAATTTTGGCTTTATATCTCAGAATATCAAAGAAAGATAAACGAACCGCTGCATATATTTGAAATGACCTCAAAACCATGCTAAACACTTCTTGACACGCACTAACGCATATTTTTTTCCTTTCTTTCTTTACAAGGACTTATAAATGTCCACTGCTGGACGCACACATGCTGTTGGTTGCAAATTATTTAAGATGCATGTGTGCGTAAGTGTTCTACTCAGAAATTGAGCATGGTTTTGGCTTCGATTCAACTCCACTTAAAATGTACGGAGCACTTCGACTATCTTTTTTTTGTATGTTCGAGCCCTACATTTCAAATAAATTTTTGACTGCTTAAACATTTTCTTGAGAGGTCCAGGTTGGCGGCCGACCTGTTTGCGCTTTATCTTCAAAGTGTCCGGGTAAAATTTATTGCTCGAAGACAAGCAGATTCTCAAATGTTGTACTTAGTTGAAACTAGCTGGTGCTTTACACCTTTCTTATCTTCATCACCATCACCATTATAGCTTTTCACAAGTCTACTGCTGAACATAGACCTCTCCTAAAGAACGTTTTCGTATTCATAGTATATGATATATTATATGTACGACGCGAACTCCATTACTGCGAAATCCTGCAATATTCTCACTAAACATAATTTTCCAAACATAAATTAAAATATTTGAAAGAATAAGTGAAGTCTTTTTCCTATTTATCTGTTAATATGGAGTTTTCATCACCTTTGCAGTGTTCCATATAACTTGTCACTGTTAAACCGATTAGTATAGAGTAAGCATCACCTTTATTAAACCGAGTTCGTTCCCCGTTAACATAGCTGAAATTGTAATTAGCCTCTGGCTCTTCTACGGCACTAGCACGGCTCTCGCAGTCCATGAATGTTCAAATGCATATTAACTATTTATTTTAAAAGCCAATAAAACCAGCTGTATATATATTTAATATTTAGTTTGTATGAATCTGATTCAACGAACTTCGAGTGGTTGAAATACACCACAATAAACAAGAAATTTAGTCATTATCTATATTTTTCATTTTTATGCTAATCTCAAAATATCAAAGAGGTGTCAATCAAACAATTATGGTACAATAGAAACACTTGTTTCGTTCTCATAATTTCTGAAATTTATTATTTCTTTTTGTACATACACTCACGATGTTAATAGACTCACCAACAAATTTACTTATTGTGTACCTGTCAGTTGGAAAGGATACTAATTCAAACGATAGAAAATAAATCTTCCTCTATTAAAAGTCACTTTAAAGTACATCAAAACCGCTATATTTTCTTTCACCGTTTGATTTTAATGTTACATGATTTTAGGTAATGGTAATTATGTATGTCTCTGTAACACTTTTCTGCCTGGTTGTTCCAATTTTGATTTATAAAGTAGCAGCGCCTGTCTGTACGAAATATATATTATCAGAAATTGTTTTTAATGGTCGTCAGTATGGAGGAAACGTTTCGAACGTTTCACAGGGTTTTATCTTTTGCTGGGATATCTATTTTCTCCAAAACAAGTAGGAGCACCAAGAGATGGTTGCTACTACAGATTTTAAATTTTGTTATCGGTTTTTTAACGTTCATATTCACTTCTGCATTTGCAATTGTTCACTTCAACAATATGCTCTTGTTTATCCAAGGCGCCTGCATTTGGACGACAGGAGTTATCATGTTCATATCATTGGGAGTTTGCTTGCTTTTCCGGAAAAAGTTCCATATGTTTCTTAGTGAAATGGTGTTTGAAGATGGAATGCTGGATATGCCTTTTATAGAATATGTTTTAAGGAATGAGAAAAACGGAAAATTAAACGATCTAAAGGAACTTGTCATAAATTCTCAAGATAAGCTTTTCTATTATACAAGGATATTACTAAAAGTGTATGTTACTAGCGTGTGGCTGACTGCAACGTTGTATTTATGTGGCCCAATTTATCAAATGTCTATTTCGGATGATAATTCGCTGCGCTTACTAGGTATGTATGGAACGAAAATTATACTGTATGTTAACGTAAGAATGTTATGCAGTAAATATATTCATGATGAAATTACTAATCATATCTTTGTTCCAATTCTAGTACCAGCATTACAAACATAACATAAATTACGTACTTTTTTTATAAAACTGAGATGACAAACGAACGAATAGCTCACCTGATGGTAAGTGGCTACTGCAGTAGTGCCTATAGATTTTTTTATTATACTGGCTCTCAATATCCTTTAAATCGGAACACAGCAGTGCACGCACTGTTGCTTGTTGGCATAAATATGTAAGTGTGGTACTCAGCCAGGTGGACCTCTTTTGGTAAAAGTTGTCCTCCAACTTTGTAAGATTATGTTTTCATTAATTTCACCCTACCCCAAAAAAGACCGTAATACTTTTTTGCAACAAGTACAAGAGTATGGTAAAGCTTGATTTTTGTTTCAGCGTTCGATATGTGGTTCCCGTGGAGTTTAGAAAACTTCAATGTATACATTGCTTCTTTCTTATTTCACGCATATGCTGGCTATCTGTGTTGTATCGGTAGGTTGAAACTGATGTGCGGGAAGGGGCGTTGAAGTGGGGTGGTATGAAGAAAATTCAAATTTTTAAAAACGTAAAAATACGGACGTTATGTCACACTGAAAATTTGTGAAGCACCCTAGGTTCTACAATTTTCTATATCATGTGCAAGATACAAGAATACAAAGTATTAAATAATATTATTATAATAATAACGATTTCAGATTTTAGTTCTAGTTTATTTTTTAATGTGGTCATAAATAATTGTACATTTTATAAAAAAAAATATAAACTATTTATGGAATAATACGGTATAATATATATCATTTTTGCAATTGGAGTATCAAAGTATTTGCATATTTGCCACAGTTGTCACACTTTGCAGACGGATACTAAATAAAAACTTACTCTTACGTGGTAGAGCCATTCTGCAGCTATATTAGTAGTATAGTTGTAGCACGAATGGGTCGGTTCGACCGGGGAAGGACCGCGCTCTCACAGAATACCAGCGTCACATAGCAGCTTAACACTGCTGTGTTTCGTATGGTGAGTATAGAGAACCGGAGACCTTTTTTACTGGAAACGATGCATTTCACCTTAGTTCTCACGGGTGGCAACGCTTCTGCATTTTGATTCGCAAACGAGGATAAATGTAGATGTCTATGGGCTGCAGCAACCACTTACCATCAGGTGGACTGTATGCTCGTTTGTCACCCTATACTATAAAAAAAATATTATAAATTACTTCGTACTAAAAACGTTTAATAAAGTATACGCTATAATCGCCTCGCATAACGGATGATCGCAGTACTACAATTCTCTCCATTTTACCTACTATGATAACCGGTCATCGGTATGAATAGAAAACTAAAATTAAAATCAAAAAAGATCTGCGAAAATATGCAAACGAAAATGAAAAGTATGGCATTTCACAAAAATAGTGGCGCCACGACTAAGGGACTTCTTTTATTATAAATATTATCCCCTAATTAAGACTAAGGCTATAAATATATCTCGTTTTTTATAATACGGATATGTCGAAGAATTAAAGCATCGATTGAAATCGATACTTTAATTCTTGATTACTGAAGTATAACTAGCAAATAGACACGTTAAAAATGTAATCTCCTACTTTTTTTTTGTTTTTTTTTTTCACATCAATATATGACCGATTTTCCGCTGTGGATTTTTGATGGGCTGCAACGAATGAAGTAATTAAAGGTGTCAACTACCTAACCGAACAACACTATCTCCCACGGAAATCGAGGCGGTTAATTTTTATCATAACATTCTTTATATATAATAAGGGAGACAAGCGGGCACACAGTCCACTTGATGGTAAGTGGCCACTGTCACCTATAGATATTGCATTCCTTAAGTGCGAAGCGCGCAAGTATGTTCTACTAGGGCCTAAAAATTACAGTTTTCTCGCATGAAATTGTATCTAGCAATCATATTATACATATAAATGATATAAAAAGCGCATTGAAAGAAAGATAAATGATTTTTGAACTAATCAATATTTTTTTAAAATCGATTAATTGCTATTTTTACTTAAAAAAGAGGTTTTAGTGGCTTATGGTAAGGATTTATCAAGTCCGCATGACGGCGTAAACATGATAAATCTTGAAAACATCAATTTTTCAACTCAATCTATTTTTTAATTTCTTCATCTATCATGTGGGAAGCCATTGAATGTAAATGGCAGTTTAATTTTATTTTGCTTAGTAATAATTATTTTTTTCCGGCGTAGAAATTCGGAAATTTGCGGTGTTTTACCAGTATTTTAATAATTTATTTTACTAAAGAGACTGTCTCACTCACTCACTTCGGCATCAACCACCGATGTGAGTGGATACTGTATCGGTTATTCGCAACGGCTCAAAAAGATCGCTGTACAAATACAAAATATTCGAAAAACCAAATTTCATACATACTTGATTATTATAATAATCAGAGATTTTTATTACAATATTTTGAAATCACAGAATAAATAATAGTAGTACGTACTAAAAGTAAGTAAGATGTACGTCTTGGACTTTATGGAGTGACCTGAATGATAATATGATGACCATATGAGCGTTATGAATCGTGCACTTTTGGATTTTGCAAAAAATTATTTAAATTGAAGTTTGACATAAAATTATAGGAAATTTGGAAGTATAATAATTATGGTTATTGGTGAAAACTAGTGTGTATCCAAACTTGTTTAAAAAAAATTACTGTACGTATATACAATATACGCATGCACAATTGGATTTACCAATAGTTTCTACATTTATCCCCAATTGAAAAACAAATTCAGCTACGTTGTCACCACTGAGGACTAAGATGCAATGACACGTATCCTGTAAAAAAGATATTCGTTTCTTTACACGCACCACTCGCATCAGGATTGAGCTGCTGCTGCTATCTTAGGCTGGAATACTATGAGAGCGTAGTATTTCTCCGACCCGACGCATACGAGCTACAATCATAATACAGCTGCTGCATGACTCTACCACGTTAAAAATATCTGATTTTAAATTTATTTCATAAAACCAGAAGCTTTTAAGATGACGGTTGTTAAGTAAAGATAATAATTTGTATTTTTAATAATTTAAGCATATCCAGGACTGCAGTCGATGATAATCCTTTTAGTTGGACAAACTATTCGTCAGTTGCGGATTATAACTTTTATTCTTCAAAATTTGAATGACCTGTCTACGCAGATAGTAGAAGGAAAGGAAGAAAATTGGCAACCATGCTGTACAGAAATTTTTAAACAGTGTATCACTCATTATGTAAAGATAAAAAGGTGGGAATAGAGTAGAATAGAAAAAAATAATTTTTGAAGATATACTTCTTTTAAGGCGTTTGTGAAAAATGATGAGAGTAATTTTTTACGATATGCGCGCACACCGATACCTAAAAACGATACCATGAAGTTGTTAATATGCGCGCGCACACTGACACCTAAAAGCGACAAGTTCAGTTTTTTTTGTTTTGTTACGCTAAAGAAGTATAACTTCCTACGTGCGTACATAAGTACACACATCCTTTTTTATATAATTTGCTTCATAATATCTTGACTGCATATAACCTTTTATCTTTTCAGGTTTACCAATCGACTTAATATCATTTGCCAACCGTTCTATTTGACTTTAATACTGGTTGCTATTATGCTTGTCTGTATGTGTTCAGTGAAAATAGCTGTATCCGTAAGTTTTAACGACAATTTAAAAACGTATTAGCTATTGATTGCTTCCATTGCTTAATGGAAAGGGAAACCGCAAGATTTTTATAGAATAAGGGTAAAAAAGGGCAAACAGTCCACCTGGTGTTAAGTGGATGCTGTCCTCTGTAGACATCTATGCCACACAAAATGCAGATTTGATGTGAAATGCCTCTTTTCCAGTAAAAAGGGTCTTCAGTTATCTACGCTCGCAGTAGTATTAAGCTGCTACAATTGTATGCCTAGCGCAAAGCGAGTAGGTATGTTCTACTAGCGCCTAAAAATCAAGATTCCAACGTTTTGTCGCATGAAATCGTATCTAAAAATCGTAATGAACATATAAATGATATAAAAAGCACATTGTCAGAAAGATAAATGCTTAGATTAATAATAGGTCATCGCGCATCTGAGCGCGCAAAGACCTATCAATAATCTAAGTATAAATGATTGTTGAACTTATTAATATTTTTTGAAATCGATTAATTGCAATTTCTACATAAAAAAAGTACTTTATGCGGCTTATAGTGTAGATTTATCAAGTCCCCATGGGGTGGTAAACACGGAAAATTTTGAAAATATTTATTGTTTAACTCAATCTATTTTTTAATCTCTTCATCTGTCATGTGGGAAGCCATGGAATGTAAATGGCAGTTTAATTTTCTTTATTTTAATGATAAATTATTTTTTTTTGTCTACGAAATGTCGAAATTTTCGGTATTTTAGGAGCCTTGTATTAATTTATTTTTTTGTAAATAGGCTGCGGCCGTCTGACTGCCTCACTCAGTTTGGCGTCTACCGCCGTCGTGAGTGGGTACTGTATTGGTCGTTTGCAGCGGCTCAAAAAAATCGCTGTACAAATACAAAATATTCCAAAAACAAAATTTCATACATACTTGATTATTATAATAATCAGAGAATTTTATTACAATAATTTAAAAGTACGGAATAAATAATAGTAGTACGTACTAAGAGTATGTAGGATAGTAGTAGGATATTTAAGTAAATTTATATTTAAATACGTCTTGGACTTTATGGAGTTACCAGAATGATGATATAATGATCATTATGATATTTGATGTGATGTATATGTCATATATGAGCATTATAAGTCGTGCATTTTTGGATTTTCCAAACTTTTTTTTTAAATTGAAATTTGACATAAAATTATTGGAAAATTGGAAGTATAATAATAAGTTGAATGAAACTACTTTTACGGATTTTATCGCGTTTAATTAACTTACTTTATATTCCCGACGTTTCGTTTGCCTTCCAGTAACCGTGGTCACGGGGGACTGAGGTGATTGACGTCCAGATATCAGAGTTAACTCGGAGTACCTTCAGCTTTTTTAATTAATAATTTTGGTCCGATCTACGCAGAATGAACTAACTGTGTCTTGAAGTCTTGCAGTGGTATGCTTGGGTTTAGTTTTAATTTTATGAATTACAGGATTCCAAGCAGATGGTAGCACCCAGCCTCTCTCTCTATTGAAATTAGTATGTTTTTTGATTTCAATAGCCTCACGTATCATCCTTGGCAGGAATCGAAGTTCTTTCGCGAGAATTTGTGGTTTATCAAATCTAATGTAATGGCGGGGGCCGTCTAGGATATGATCACAAACTGCAGACTTCCGGGAACGTTGGTGCTTCACGTCAGCTATGTGTTCTTTTACGCGGGTTTTTATTTATCGCTTTGTTTGCCCTATACATAAGAGACAACATTCACAATAAAGCTTGTACACTCCTGCATCGTGTAGAGGAATATTGCACTTGACGGATGGTAAGAACTGACTAATCTTCTTCGGCGGCTTGAAGAATGTTCTAATAGAAGCTCGCATCAAGATGTAGCCAATCTTGTCTGTGACACCTCTGACATATGGTAGTACAGCAGGCACACGCTCGACTGTAGCCGGCTTCACTCAGTTACTGTAACAATATGGTTATTAGTGAAAACTTGTGTGTATTTCAAGGAATTTAAAAAATCCCTATAATCATGTACTTAATTTTTTTAATGCGCTTAGGGCATGCGCAATTGGATTTACCAATAGTTTTTTTAATATACTCGTACCTAATGCGACTCTACCACATATTAAGATCAATATGGTTCATATAAATGATCTGTTCATTCCTGGTATCTATATACCAGGAATGAACAGATCATTTATATGAACCATATTGATCGTCTGCATACCCATAGGGGTATGCAGACGATAGCACAGTTGTGGAGCGATACCAACAACTCCACAACTGTGCTATCGTCTGCATACCCCTATGGGTATGCAGACGATAGCACAGTTGTGGAGCGATACCAACCAAGTACCCGGGCCTGTCGGGATCAAATCTAGTCCGAAAGAGAAGCTTTGGTTAAACGTGTGAATCTCACACTACAGGTAGTCTCCGATTGAGGCGATGCCAATCTCGTGTGATTCAACGCCTCCAAAACACAAGCGTGTCTTTTCACTGCTAAAAGGAGTCCACTCACCCTAGCTCCTACTTTCTTGAATATATCCTTGGAGTACACTGAAGCAGCTGCAAGAAAATTTGGTATCCTAGCAAGCGTGTGGCGATACTTCACGCAGGGGTAGCTTCTTACCTTATATAAAGAGCAAGTCTGGTCGTGCATGGAGTACTGCTGTCACATTTTTTATTAATTTATTATTAGATAAAAATTGTTACAATATTGCTATGCGGCACAGCGAAAAACCACGCAGGTTTGTGTTGCGTGCCGTTCCGTCTACATTTACAAAAAATAGGGATAACAACTAATATTTATTTAGGAAGTAACATTTTAATTTATACTTTATGTTAACTTCATTAAGTTCACTTTTAAATTTATTATCCAGACCATTTATTAAGCGAGGTATTATGTATGCGCAAGTGCGCTCACCATATTTATTTTTGGATGGTATTGTTATTAATTTTTTTTTGAGTTACTTTGTGGGTCTGAATTTTATTTGAGACTGTATGTTGTATACCTAAATTAAAGAATTGTTCTTTTAACAATTGATATTGGACTTTGTCATGGATATTGAGTACCTTGCAGTATTTAAATATAAGGTTTGCATTAGTTTTTGCCTGAAGTTTAATTTTTATGGGTATAATCGCTTTTAAAATCCTAAGTTGTAGTTGATAAATGTACTGCAGGTGTGATTTGTCTGTTCGTCCGTAGCTACTTAGCCCATAAGTTATGACTGAATCATCATGAGCGTTATAAAGCATCATTTTGACTCGAAAGTTTAATCGCTTTCTAACTATAAACATATTCGCCAAAAAAGCTCTAAGTTTATCACATACGTGCTTTATATGCTCGTGCCAATTGAACTTATGGTCTAATACTAAGCCTAAATATTTATGCGACGTAACTAATTTAATCGTGGAACACTTCCAATTAAGTTGAGGTTGGTGAAGGCAATTATGATTATGCGCAATGATTTTATGTTTTAATATGCTATGAGACTTTAAGTTTGGCGAGTGTATATGGACTAATTTCGTCTTTTGAGAATTTAATATCAAACCGTTGTCATGGCACCATTTATTTAATGAATCAAAATCATCCTGTAGCAAAAGCAGGGCGTCATTGACATCCTTAGCAGCTACAAGCATACACGTATCATCAGCGTATTGATAGTTAGTACAATATCTAAAGATCTTATTCATGTCATTGACATAGGCTATAAAATGCAATGGTCCAAGTACGGAACCTTGAGCTATGCCTTCAGTTACTTTGACTGATGTGCTGTAGCTTTCACAAATTGTAACACGGTGGCTTCTATTAGTCAGATAGTTTTTACACCAATTTAAAAGAGGTCCACGAATACCTGTATTTTCTAACTTCCTAATCAGCTTATTATGATCTAATGTATCAAAGGGGCAAGAAAAATCAATAAATAGAGCTAGAACATGTAGTTTCTGATTCATCCATGAATTAACTTGATCTGTGAATTCCGATAATAGCATTGCAGTGTTCTTACCAGGCCTGAAACCGAATTGGCTAGAGCTTAAAATATTACTTTTTTGATAAAACTCGTGTATTTGATTACAGATATATTTTTCCGCTATTTTATCTATTGATGTTGTTAAAGTAATAGGTCTATAATTATTTGTGTCATCAAACTTACCATTTTTATGGACTGTTCTAACACATCCCACCTTAAGTTCATCTGGATATGTCTCTGTTTTAATACAGGTATTTACAAATTTAACTAAGGGTTCTGAAATTATATTGGCAATGCTCTTGATATCTCTCATTATAATGCAATCAAAACCTGGGGCTTTATCAGTACTTAACTTATTAATTAATTTATATACACTATCTGGCGTTGCCTTCTTAAAGTACATACTACAATTATTTACATTTGCTGGTAAATTGTTTTGATCATATTTTAATATATTCTGGTTGCAGTTTGGCAAAATATCTTTCACGGCAGAGTCAAAATTATTCGCAAAATTGTCTGCAATACGTTTTGGTAAAAGATTTAATGATTTAAAAGCATTTAATATAACTTCATCTATTGATTTTACAATCCTACCAGCGCTATCATTCAAAATTTGCCATAACTTTCTTGAATTAGCAAAATTTTTATTTATTTTATTTTTATAATAAGAATTTCTGTAATATTCAGTTACCTTGTTTACCTTATTTCTTTTCCTATTGTATTCTAATCTTAATACTATGTTATTCTGGTCTTTCTTCCATTTATTAAATAGCTCATCACGTTTATCACTCAAATTAATTATTTTTTTATTAATCCATGGTGCCTGTCGATAAAATTTTGAATTATTATTAATTGTTCTCATTGCCCTTGAATATGCATTTTTAAAAGTATCTTTTATGAATGTGTACATTTGCTGCGGTGACTGCATCTCATCAATATGAGACCATTCCGCAGTACATAATTCCTCGCCTAATATTAGAGGGTCGTATATAGGTATTTGTTTACTTTCGATATAGTTACGTTTTTTTGACTCATGGATACTGCATAATGCAACCACGGTCAAGCGATGATCCGCCAGTACAGTATCGACCACGGCCGTGCAAGGATCTGTTGTGTGGGAGCGCACATATGGGCTAGTGCTGCAAAATGCCACGTGGCAGCGTTGGACTTGGTGGAGAGATGTGCGAGAATGAGCCTCTCAGCTCATTAGTGACCTTGATTTGGTTGAAACCAATCTTGTCCGCCTCCAGCACAGGTGCAGAGTAGCCAGTCTCTTGGTATTATATAGGATGCATTTCGGTGAGTGTGCGCAGAAATTACACGCTCTAAATCCTCCCTCTTCTTTCCACCATCGAACGACCAGGCGGGCGGCGGGTCTTCATCGATTTGTTGTCAATATTCCACGCATTAGAACCAAACGGTTTGCTTTGTCTTTTGTAATGCGTACAGCAGAGGAGTGGTATAATTTGCGTTCGAATACAATCTGGGCGTCTGAAAAGCAAGAGTGAATAGGTTTTTGTTACGCTAGGACAGTGCAATTTACCATCTAGGCCTGCATCACCACTTACCACCAGGTGGGTTTATGGTCAAACACTGGCTTCTAATGAGTAAAAAAATGATGTTTGCTCATTATTATCCTTACTTTGTTAATTAATTATAGAGAGATAAATAAGGATGAGTTCTTCTTACACGTATTTTAAAAATAATATTGTTAAAAAATAATATAATTAAAAATTCTTATGTATCAAATGGTAACCTTTAAATATTTTGAGTAATTATTGAAAGCATTGTTTAAATACAAAAGGCATGTGGCACTGTGGTTGTAAGTCAGAGTAGCGTTTATCGCAAATATTACTATTGAGCTGACTCTTATGTTTACTGTTTGATGATGACCATGATGATAATGATAAGCCTATCTACATCAAATATATATGTAATATATATATATATATATATATATATATATATATATATATATCTATATATATATATATATATATATATATATCTATATATATATATATATATATGCCTCAAAATAACCGTCGCTGAGCATGATTCTTCCCCTTAGGTCCTTTGAACTGTATGGTCGGCCCTTTGCACATTTGAAAACGTCGTAGTAAGTTGTCTTGTAGAGAGTTAACGATATATTATGTTCAGTTCACCTCTGAAATTAGTAGCGGGCGCCATAAAACTAGACTAAATTTGGAAAACCGAATTCCAAACGCTTACACGAAGAAGATAGATCACATCAGCTCACTGATCTGTAAGATTATGTCCGTTCGTGTGTATGCCATGACTTTTTGCCATAGCTTGTCAGTTATTTTGACTTATACATAAAGTAAAGAACCATGTCCAAATTTTATACTTATATCATCATTGGCAACTTTGCTGTAATGTAAATTATTTGAATACACTCCTGACCTTCATCTCCATCACAACACGTAATCCTCTTTTTTTTATAGGACAAGGGTGACAAACGAGCACACAGTCCACCTGATGGTAAGTGGTTGCTGCGGCCCATAGACATCTACATCTATCCTCAGTTACAAATCAAAATGTAGATGCGTTGTCACCCGTGAGGACTAAGATGGAATGCCTCATTTCCAGTAAAAAGGGCCTCCGGCCACCTGCACTCACCAAGCGAAACGCAGAGGTAAACCTCTACTTCACGCTGGTTTTCTGTGTGGTCGTGGTACTACCCCGGTTCGAGCCGGCCCATCCGTGCGACAGCAAAAACTGCCGCGTGGCTCTACCACTGTAATAACTCTTCTAAACTAAGAGTTAGAATTATCATCACACTTGGCAGATGGCAATTACAGCAGTAACCTCGTATTGCACTTGATTTTAAGGCCTTAACAGTTTTCTATTTAAACGAGAAGAAGGAAATAGGACGATTCTCTTACGTTACCGCGATATGGTTGTTGTTTAAAATTTTTTTAATTAATTTTTCAGGATGTAATATTCTCCGCGGACGTAATGAAATATTTCGTACATGAATTTTGTTTTATTCTTGTTGTTTTAATGTTTTGCTTATTGGGTCAGAAAGTTGAAAATGAGGTGAGTGCATATCGAAAGATTAACAACATGTATTTCTTTTGTTGAAGATGTAAGTCGATAAATGTAGGTGATATTGGATAATTTTTTGAGTCATGGGATTGTCTATTTTCAGCAGTGGACTTGTCAAGAGATGTAATGATGATGATGACTATGATGATAAAGATCAACCAGAGTATATTTTAAAATAAACTTTAAAATTATGCTTGCTCTTTTAAAGTTAATAATTTGGTTGAAATTAATTGACTACTAACAATGTTAATGCACTACACCGTATGTTACAGTGCGAAAAACTGGAATTAGCAGTCACCGAAAAATGGTACCTATATGACAGAAATCATAAAATTAACGTTTTGATTTTTAATATGGCAGTGAGTCAAAGAATGCCCATATACATATTTGGGTCTGTAACTCTGTCGTTACCAACATTTACATGGGTGAGTTATTTAAGTTATATCCTATTTGTTACTTCTGTGCAAAGTCAAAGTAAACTTTATAAACATTTTTTTTTCAGTTTATAAAGACTGGAATGTCTTTTTTTACATTAGTGATGTCATTACTGGAGGGTTAAAAATGCTGAAAAAAGTTCAGTATTATGTATGTTAAACAATAAAGTGTTTTTAGATCACCTAAATTGCACTGCATATTACTTATTTAATACGCATCCTAGTAGTTCAAATAATTAATCTATTAATAAATAAAGGTACCTAGTATAAATTTAAATCATCATTAACACCGTATATTTTATTAGTATTATTATTATTATTGTTTTCCCATTCCTATAATAATTAATTCAAATTCCGTGGAGTCTACGTACGGTGAAGTTCCTAAAGGAACTCCATCCGCGGCTGGTCGTTGTTGCTGGTGATAAGAGGGCTGGTTCTTTCCTCGCTTAAAGACTAAGTATAGCCATTCAGCGGGGAAACGCAGCCAGCGTTCTTGGCACGATACCGCGGGGAGTAGGACTATATGATAATTAAGTTTCTAGTTTAATTTTTTTTATTATCATAGTTTTTAATATTGAAAATAAATAAAAAAAATATTCAAAATTAATACCTATAATAATAAATGAAATTGTACGTCATAGTGCCAATCTCATGTACTTTGTCAACTGGCATCTTGGGATAGTAGCTACCTAAAAAATTATGCCACCGTTAATAAATGTAAACGATAAAATAACATAGAATATAGGACAAAATAAATAAGAAATAATATACAAGGAAACAAAAACAAGAGATTTGGCAGCAGTATCTTCTTGATAACAACTGAAAATAATAAAAAAACCGCGGTTCCAAGCGTGGTAACTATGGCATGTATCCTTCTTATAAGACTTACATGGTAGAGCAATGCTGCAGTTATATTATTTGCAGCACGTCTGGGTCGGTTCGACTGGGGTACGACCACGTTGTTGCAGAATACCAGCGTAAAATAGCAGCTTAATGCTGCTGTGTTTCGTATGGTGATTGTAATAAACCGAGGACCCTTTTTCCTGGAAACGAAGCATTCCATCTCATGCCTCAGGAGTGGCAACGTATCTGCATTCTGATTCATTATTGAGGACAAATGTCTATGGGTCACAGCATCCACTTACCATCAGGTGAACTGTGTTTTTTTATAGGATAGGGTGACAAACGAGCACACAGTCCACACAGAGCACACAGTTAAACTTTATAAACTTATGACAAATGGGAAAAAGAGGGCGCTATGTTCAGCGGTTATATTTTAATAGGCTGTAATGATGAGACTATATCATTAAGTTGTTTTGACTCAACATAATTAGAGATTTTCTTTAATAGCCCATCAACAGTGCATTGATCGATGTGTCACTCCGCACCTCTGATGTCTCCTTTTCCCTTATTAATTTATAAACAATTCACTGCTAGTTTTGGGATTCTTTCGCAGTAGGAAGAATTTGCGTTAAGCGCCACACTTGGAAGGTAGACAGACGACCCCAGTAACTCCTGTCTCATTCATGAAGCTGCTTCCTTACGCTTAATACAAAATAGTTATATGGCAATAATCCGCCACGGCAATGCCGGTACGCGATAGGGTGACAAATTCTCTTAAGCTGTCACCATACGGGGATTAATATGTTAACGACTCGGTAACGGGTTTTAACATGCAGTGTTAAATATTGTGCAATATTTTAAAACCACTGATTAATGTTGTAAAAACACAGCGCAGCCGGTGGCTCGTTCACAAAAGACTGATGGCAGATAATTGGAACGTAAAGAGAGCTTATTATGTAGGTTGACGGATTGGCCAACATTCAGTTGACCTAAGTGTGCTGAATAATCTACTCCAGGAGAGGTTACAAGACTCTTGTGAAACTGTAATACCTTCTGCGCAATTGATAGCTTTCTGAAATATTCTAGTTATAAATAGTGGAACTGTAAGTGAAAATTGACGGCAAATGAAGACCTTTTTTTACTCATAATTCCATCTTAGTCCTCAGGGGTTATAAGGCATCTGAATTTTATTTTTCAATTCGGGTTTAAATTCAGCTGCTCAAAGTGAAATTTTGAGCAGCTGAATTTAAACGTGGCTGTGAGAGCTTGGGAAACGATGAACGTTCGGGACGTCCAAAAACTGCAACTACTGACGGTAACATCGCTTAAGTTCACCAAATGGTGCTAGACAACCACCGAATCAAAATGTGAAACATAGCAGAGGCTGTGAAAATGTCCAAAGAACGTGTGTGTCACATTTTAAATCAATTAAATTTAGACATGAAGGCTGTCAGTGCATTAAACCAAAAACGTGTTCGATTGAACATTTCGAAACCTTTGTTGGCGCAGTTAAACGTAATAATTTCGAGTTTTTTATCCGCTAATTACTGTAGATGAAACTTGGATACACCATTATATGCGCAAAACAAAAGTACCGGCTAAACAATGGACTACGAAGGGGCACCGGCTCCAATAAAAGCAAAAACTGTTTTTTCGTCTCGAAAAGTGATGGCGACGGTTTTTTGGAATAGTCATGGAGTTATCTTTATCGATTATCTTAAAAAAGGATAAACTATTACAACAGCATACTAGATATCATTACTTTCTAAACTGAAGGCAGAAATTGTGGTAAAACGGCCACATTTGCAGAAAAATAAAATCCTGTTTCACCATGACAACGCGCCGTCTCACACCTCAGCGGTTGTCATGGCGATTATCCACGAATTTCGGTTTGAACTGCTTTACCATCCACCTTATTTACTAGACCTAGCACCAAGCGACTTTTTTTTGTCCTTTCATCTAAAAATTGCGCACGGAGGACAAAGATGATTTTCGTCTAATGAGAAGGCAATCACCTTTGTAAACAATTATTTTGCAAAGAAAAACGCCGAGTACTATTTGTACGGTATAGAGAGATGGGAGCATCGCTGGGATAAGTGTGTAGAGTAAAAGGAGACTATGTAGAAAAATAAAAACAAATTTTAAGAAAAAATGTCATTTTTAGTCCGACACCTAAAAGATGAGAGTGAAATAATGCTTACATTAAAATTTATATAGACCTTAATTTGTACATTTTATCCGTATAAACCTAATGTGGGTCTTGGTGATTGAAAAAAGGGGCCATGATGACCGATTGATAGAAAATTATTCTAATAGAAACGATGCTAAATCCCATTGACCTTACCAGTATCAGGGTACTGCTCCACGCTCACTTATCTGGCTGCCTAGCTTGAGTATGGACAAATCTACGTGAACCTCCATCTTTCAAGTATGTCTATACACAGCAGTTTTAATTTTAATTTTTCCTCCTTTATCTCAATCTATAGTCGTCAAAAATCACAAAGAGACCTCGCTCCCGATTTCTGGCCCTCTGGGGTAGTGCTTCGCCGATACAGGGACGTGCTAAAGGAGAAAGTTCCCTAAATAGTGTTAAGTTAGGTCTATATTTTACATATTTTTAGGTTAAGGTATATATTGCTATGGGACAATGTTCTTAATTTTTAAGTCCTTAATGCTTGAAATAAAGTTGTTGTATTGTATAAACTTGACTGGTGGTTGCTTTGGACTAGAAAATACACCCTTTAGACGTAATTATTTTTATTAAAACTGCAAATTTTAGTGTACAGTTTTATAAGTAAAATAGAGAGTAGTGAACTAGTGAGATTCACTGTATCGAGGTTAAACTGTTACCAAACTTTGAAAGCACGGTGTAGAGAAAACTTTGCAACTAGTTTACAAACTGATATCCTCTCAAATTATTCATTACATTAACGTTCACGTGATCTATGAAAATAAGTTTGGTATGATTCAGTTACTATAGAGGTACTAACATGAAATTGAGATCTGTGTTCTACATTGGAGTAAAAAAAATATCGCATAATATATCAATATATTCGTGTAGTGTCAGTGTCTAATACCTGCAATACCTCAAAACCCATGCGTGTAAAAAGATAGAGATAAAGCATTTTCCTAATAACAACTCAAAGTAATAAAAATTAAACTTACGATAGAATCTATGGGGTACCTATGTACAGCAGTGAACTTTTTATAGGCTGTGTAATAAACGAATTAATATAATACTAGCTGGCCACGCAGACGTTGTTCTGCCCTCTCCAAAGACCCTGTGTCCTATAAAAATTCTTAATAAAAAATATTGAAGGTCACTTATAGGGATAAAAACTATCCTATCTCTCAAGTTGGACCAAGCTACACACAGTGTGCGTAAATTTCATTGCAATCTGCTTAGTAGTTTAGGAGTTCATCGCAGACAAACAATGTTACACGTAATTTTTATATATAAATATTAATACTGGAATACGACTACTACATTATTGCGACCGCTTTTTATTTGATAAAGAGTCACTTGTTACCTAAAAGTGGTCGAAGTCGAACCCGTAATCAAACATAGTGATGTGATGATCCGTTCTAGACCATAAATTGGTTATATAGTGTTGTGCTTTTTATATTATCTCCGATTTTCTAAAAGTTAGTTATAATATTAGAGAGGGGACATATTGTACCCTTCTTTAACGTTTGATATCACAATATGAGTTCATACTGAGTCACTATTATTATAACACATTTTTAATAGGCTAATAGGGCTAGTACAATAATTACAGGCTGCTACAGATCATAACGCATTTTTGATTTTCTTTGTAACAGAATACTTATAGGTGCCCTGAACTGACTTAGATTTAAATAAACAAATATAGTCATTAAAAATAGAATTACAAAACATACGAAAAAATATAACATAGAAGGACAAAAAAGGGATTTTTCTGACAGAGAAAAAAATTTACATAAAATATATCTTTGCACAAATCTAGCCAATACTTACTTATGGTAAATAATGGTTACTTGTAGACCATGAGAGCTTTCATTATAAGAGTTAAAAAATAGTACTTGGCATTTCCATGCTGCAGCTATTTTATGTCTGCAGCACGAAAATATCGGTCACGGAAAAATTCCAGCGTGAACTAGCAGCTTAATGCTGCTGTATTTCATGATGATATCAATATTTGTCGTCTGGCCGTCATAATGAAGTCAATCTCATTTTTTATCAAACCGTCGGAGCTCGACCAGGTCCACTTCCTGTGTTTAATATAGTTATTCTATCATAGTC